GGTCTCTGCAGCACACTGAGAAAACTTGTTTTGCCCGTGTGAACAAAGGCAAAAAGAGGAATATGTAACACACAACACAAAAACTCATTCCTTCATTCTGTTTATATGAGTCTCCTGAAGACCAAAGTAGAGCAAACTGAACTTTTCTTTAGGCTTGACTTTTTCAGTATACAGTACTAATAACAGAGATGTTCCAAAACTCAGATTTGACACCAGAAAATACACGTATTTTGCTTTTGAACTCGAGAGAAAGAGAATAGCTGTCGTTATTAGCTTTACTGCCATTACATGCATTAACCCGTATTCAACTGACTTCTCTGGAAGCCGTGTAATTGAGGTGTAGCTATCTCATAACATATTTTTTTATAATGAAAATGAAATCTTACAGTGAGCCTTCTCACTTGTTGAATCTGATGTGTGTGCCACTGTTTGTAATAAAAGACTGTAGAATGAACAGTGCACTTTTACATTTAAATGCCAGTGATGACAAGTAAATAAGAAATTAAGAATAAAATAGGACAAATACGCACATAATGCAAAATCAAGTTCCCGGCCTTAAGAAAGATTCTTCTTTCTCTTCTTCTCTTCATATTAAACACATTACTGGTAAACACCTTCCTATTTCCTCGCAGGAAAACAATGGGTGGGGGGGTACGAGGATGAGGACGCTCCAGATTCTTTTAGCTCGTCTCCAGTTTGGCCATTTCTTGCACATAGATCCCGATGCTCTCGCTGTCAAACAGCACAAAGTAGATGGTCTTGATGGTGGAAGACATGGTGGACACGAAGTAGCTAGATATGGCCTTAAGGATCAACTGGGCTGCCGTCTGCTTCGGGAAACCATTCCTGACAGAGAAGTACAAACACACTTAGTGAACTGCAGTTTTAACTTGTCACTGTTATTGATTTGAAGATGACTTTGACATAGTTTGAATTTGGAGGACTGATGGCCTCCATAAACGTCATTTCCAAAGCAAAAGTTGGAATCTATAAAAACAAACATAGCAGGAGAATTTGTGCACTTGTACGAAAACCCATGCGCAAAAACAATTTGGTGAGAGGGGAATTGTAGAGATTAAATGTATATATGTACATTAAGTTTAAAAAACATATTGTACAAATACAATTTATTATAATCGTTATTAAATGTTAGGGTTTATCCTCTTACCATGTTCACAGTCTTTGTTTATCATATAAGCTCTGTAACATTTGCTTATAAATTCAAAATATAGATGAGGCTGATGTATGATCATAAACCAAAGTATAGGACAAAAATATATTTTGATGATGTGCTAAATGAAAAGTAATTGTCATCAAAATGATTTCAGTTCATCCTGAGAAAACCACTTCCAGGTTTAGACTAAGATAGATAGGCATCAACTAGTGATTTGCAGAATGTGTAACGGGCTGGTTGTTAATGAAGAAACAGCATATTGTTAGTTAAGATATTATATTTTTTAACAACTACATGGTGCCACACATGTCAGACGAGGTTTTATCTGTTTATCTTTTCTTTGTTTTCCTACCTTCCACTACCGATGGAGGGGAAGGCCACAGACTTGAGTTTCTTCTCGTCGGCCAGAGCCAGGCAGTTCTTCACCGTCTTGTCCAGCATCTCCTCACACTTGTCGGAGCCCCAGCCTGGACTGTGGCAGTGAATGACGTACTTGGCAGGAAGGCCAAAGCCGCCGGACAACAAAGCTGAGGGACAGAGAGGAGAGGTTGAAGAATGGGTAGTGAGCTGAGAAGGGAAGAGGAGGACAAAATGTGAGTGCAAGTACTTCTACATTACAGGAACACTAAGTGTTTAGTATATAAATTCCTTGTTTGCAAATTCCTATGGTAATTAGAACATGTTTGGTGTTTGTAATGAAACAAATTTGGTTTGTGATGAACTATAATTTTTCCTTTTGGGCAAATGTCCAAAATCAAAAGAAATTCACATTGCAATGATATAAATCAGAAAAAGCACCACATCATTATTCATTATTGAGAATAGGTTTTTTGCCCCTCCCCAAACTTTTATGTAAATTGACAAAATGATTATGATCCATGAACCTATGAGTCTTAAAATACATAACCGTAGTCACCATCCGAAGTCATCAGTAAGTAATATTTAATATATTGCCCAACATCACTATATAAAAAGAAACCAAGATTAGACCAAGAAGAGATGGATGTGTCACATCCATCATCTACTGTAAAAGTCAGCAACAGTAATGAGTTGTGTCACAAATGAAAGCCTAAAAGTTGAGTCTGATGCCCTGGGATGCTGCTCTGTGGAAAATGTATGCAGAAAATCTCCTCAAGCTTAAAATGGTTTGACCGAGGTATTACAGCGAGGTGGGCCGGAGTAATCTCTTCTCCAGACAGCCCGGGAGGAGAGAAGACAATGAAGAACAGTGAAGACAAGAAGAGAAGACAAAGCGAAAAAGAAGACGAGAGGAGTCTGTTTTCTGGAGTTGAAACTTTTTAGTGTAGTCTTCCATCAAACCGGCGGCTGTAGACAGAGTAATTCAGCCAAAGCCCCCTGGCGCTGTGAAGTGAGAAAAGTCTCCAGACAGAGTTTATTAGTCCACAGTGAAGGCAGCACTGGACTGGAGTCAAATCAGAGGACGAGCTGATTTCCAGATGGTTCACAGAAAGCATGGAGCGACTTCACACAGCAGAGCGAGAGCCAGGGGGGAGGAAAAGTCTGTGATGAGGAGGATGATGATGATGATAATGATTACAGTTTAGACGAGCGTTTGCAAAGTTCAACGTTGTTTTATGGTTTGGGTCGGTGGAACGGTACGCTTGTGTACAGCCCATCTGGAGATCACCTGTCAATCAAACCTTTCTGTTGATGTGGGTTACACAGCTCTTTTCTGTCAATGAAGCCTCGTGGATGTAGAAGGTTGTGAACAATTGTTCCAATAAAAAAACAACAACCTTACTAAACATTATTACTGCATGTCTCTCAGCAGTGGTTGAACCGGGAGATGAAAAACTATAATATTAGAGATTAATTCAAGAGAAACAAAGAATACCAAAATAGATCCCAGTAGAGCTCATACTTCTGCCCAAGGCCCAACAGTCCCCTTATTAAAACCACATCTAAATTCACTAGATTTTTAGTTGGATTTGCACCAAAGGAAGTGAAAAAAAATCCTAAATCCACACCAAAATTAAACATGTTCTTCCTTGATGCACACTGCATCATTTGTGGTAATCCTTGCAGTAGTTATTGCGTAATCCTGCAAACTAACAAACCAACCGACAAACGGACAGGGATCCGAGTCAAAAATTAAGGATTGGTGTATGAACTGTGCTCATTCATTGTTATGTGACAATGTGTTGCCAGAGATTTAATCTTTATCAATTTAACCACAAATAAAAAGTCAATATGTCACAAGGTGGTAATATAGAGAGAGCAGATCAAATCTTAAATGCTGCCTCTGCATGAATAACTCTGGTACCTGTCTGGCCTTGAAACTGAGAAGTTTGCTCAAAAAAATCCAGATGCACAAATACTTTACATCTTGAAGAACTTTTTTTTTTATTACGGTTGGTCACAGTGACCGTTTTACTGATCCAGATCCGCAGAAATCACCGACAGGCTCTGCTGGCTTGGTGTTCAGTCCCCTGGTAATCTATTTATGAGCTGCACGCAGAGACTGGGATTAGGACGCTGAGCTAACTTGGCTGGATGTGAGAGAGAGCGGCAGTGAAGGTGGGGAGTGTTTGAAAACACGAGAGTGTGTGATGAATAATGACAGAGGCAGATGGAGAAAGAGTAAGAGAGGGATGAGGAGAACAAGTGGAGACAAATGTGCTGGAGGATAAATAATCTGGGCTCAAACAATACGACTCTCTGAAGACTCATGTCTGTAAATTTACACTCAAGTCACAGAGACGATTACAGACCAGCCCATAATATCTTTGATCAGTTTCATGACAGAAATATCCAAGCATTGACTTCTTTACTAAATTTAATATGTGGCATATTGGAAGCAGTTCTTGGTCCTGCAGAGGGTCAATTATAAAGTTCAGCAACATTTAGGGTTTGATTTTAATGATCTGAGCACATGGTCCAAATCCACTTTACTGGTTTTACAGGGAGAGAAAAGGTCACTGCACCAGGCACATGCTTCAGAGGAGTTGTGCTTAGTCTCTTAGGGCACTTTCACACCTTCCTTGTTCAGTCCAAAACTTTGGAATTTTCAGTTTGTTCCAAACCAAAATAACAGGTGTGAAAGGTGCCTGAGACCACAGTCCCGACCAAAGGTCTCAGTCCAGATCAAACTGAGGCATGGTTCGAAGTGAGAAAACTTCCAGACTTTGGGACCAATTGCAGAAAAAGTTGAGACAGCATTAAACAGTAGAAGAAAATAATAAGCAGAAGAAGCTCACATGATTGCTCATCGTCACCTCAGACAATATAATGTTTAAAACTACTTTTTCAATGCAATTTATTCAAAATTGCACTGGGTAATAAAATACCCGAACGATGCACGGCCCTCTACAAACCAATCAATGTCAGGTGTAGTAGACACAGCCCATGTAGGTGATGACGACCTTTGAAAGCAAAGTGCACTTACATCTTGGTGGACTGATATTATAGGGGCAGATTTGTATTAGCAGATTATTATTAAAGAACCAAAAAAAACAAATCTTTGCCACCCTCTTTTATGCACTTACCCCCCGCCACCTCCAGAGGGCCGTTTTTCTTCTTCAGCTCCAGCACAGCATCTGTGAACTCCTTCCCTCCCTTCTTCTCCAGAGCAGAGCCTGTGAGTGGAGACAGGACTGAGGTGAAAATATCCTCATGTATCACTGACAGACAGAAAGATGCACAGCAGTGAAACTGCAGAAGTGATGTCATGCAAACAGACAGACAGACAGACAGACTGGCAAGAAGGCAGACATGGAGACAGACAGGTAGCCAGGCAGGTAGCCAGGCAGACAACAATGCTGTCAATCATCTCATCTGGCCTCTCTCTCGGTCTCTGAGCTCAACACCTCTTGTGCAACACGTTGAGATTCTGTTCTTTTATTTGTGAGACTCAGGAAATGTCTCGTAAAGTGCTGCTATTTTCCAAATGACTCATTGTGAGTTAGTTAAATTCATGTATTAAAGCAACGATCTCTAATAACTTCCTCTGTCCTCACATACCAGCTTGTTAACAGTGGACTCAGGGTATTTTCTCCCAATAAAGAGTTTGTTAGGAAGAAAAGAGGAAAGGATGGTGCAGAGCTTGGTATAGATGAGAATATAAAACCTCTGTTCACCATGTTTGCTCACACATTTTCAGTCCAGGAAGCAATTTAAGAGAATGATGTTACGAGACCACTGGGGAAGCAAATTCAGCCGTTTCTTTTCTCCTTATTTTGATAGAACTTATTCCATGTGAGTCAGTCACTATTTCAAATTTACTCAGAGCTAAAGAGAGAAGCCACAAAGGAAACTAAAGAGGAGAGAGGTGATTCAAATCCTCCAGAGCCAGAGAAATGAATGCTCTGGCTGCCATTTCATTAAAAAAACAGGCAGGTGAGAAGTTAATGTCAGCCTTTTAAAGACAAGTTAGAGGGAGAAGCTCTACAAGCAAGCAAAAGTTCAAAAGCTTATTCTATAGTCATTAATGGTTTATTAGGTAAATCTTCATTAATCTGTTCATTTGAATGACCGGTGATCACCCCTCAGGAGTTTGGATGTGATCAAACACTTTCTGGAGTTTCTAAGCAGCTGGAGTAGCAGCACAGTCGAGGGGACAGAGGTTACAGGAAATGAAGAGAGTTCCCAGATTGTCCACATTTCAGTTAAGTGGGAAAAAGGCACAACAAGCAGCAGCTCAGGCTTAGGATGACAGAAATAAACAGCTAGATGTATGGTTTACATGAAGAAATCAGCAACTGCTCTGGATAGATTATATTTCTCCTTTTGTATCTTCTATTTGACAAACAGTGCTGGGTATTAAATGACTATGATATTTAATGATTATTATGATTTAACAATAACATATTTTCTTTAGGGGCATTAGCTGTAGATCTAAGGCACCAGTAAAAGCTACAGCATGACAGCCAGTCTCACGAAGCAGGATTACCAGATTAGAGTAATTGGGTGATCAGACAGATAGACTGAATCAGACCGATAGACTGACTATAAAGATGGATGACATGACGGGTAAAAAGTACAAGATGGCATTACACGTATCTGAGATATTTTTGTACAACAGGAGGATGTGGAGACGCGTCATCCATCTTTATATACACTCTATGGATCAGACCAAAACCAAAAATAATACAGATGTCTGCTTCAAAAATCAGACCCCAGTTATGGGCAGGAATTGTTTGGATAATGCTTCATTTTAGTCCATACAAATATAGAAAATTAAGACATATGAGAAAAGAGCTTTCAGCCATCTACCATTCAATAGCCTTTTATAATGTGGTAAGATGTCAAATTCAAATGATCCTTTTCATAATGTTCACATTTAGTTTTTTCTTGTGCATGTCGGGTTTATAAATAACACAGCAGAGCTATTTAGCTGCAGAATTTCAAGTGTTGGGAAATTGAGGTTCCCAGAAGCACCTCGTTGCATAAATAAAACAGTACCTGCGTGCACGCCTCAAAGCTCTGCAAGTTCATTTTCACTCATGATACAGTATAATTCTTTCAGTCAATGTTTCAGCAAATCACATAATTACATAGGTGAAGCATTGTCAGTAGGAGCATAAGGGCACTGGGTTGTGGGTTAAAAGGTTTTCTTCAGAGCAGAGTTCAGGATAAATAACCTCCTACAATGCACATTAAAACTGTGCTGCTGCTGTTTGTCCACAGACTGAGATGAAGACTATCTGGAAAATGCAGAAAGAGAGAGAGAGAGAGCAGACAGGCAGTCATGGTCTCGGTGGTGTCAATAGTTCCTTTACCTACTTCACCACCTGTATAGATGGAGGAGTTGGTCGGGTGAACGACAGCGTCGCTCTCCACGATGGAAATGTCGGCTTGGACAACTTGCAACTACAGACAACAACGACGACAAACAACAGGCAAACAACACAGTGGTAAAGACACAGTGAGTGATCCGGAGCAAAACGATGGGACAGACAGTAAGAAAAAAAAAAAGAAGGAAGAAGAAAAGAGACAAAAGGTGAGTGTGCTCCTTATCCTGAGGATATGACAGGAATCAAGGAGGCCACTGTGGACATGGTGGGTCATGTTATGTAAATAGGAAGCAGGAATCACATTTAGTCAGATTCACTTAAAAAAACGGAATAAATTAGCCTAAATGTGTTCATTCTCACACACACACACGCGTCTAGATGCAAGAGTGCATTTTTAAATATTCAAATTTTATTTTTATAGTTTTAAACTGAGGACATAAACAACGTAAATGTTGCTTTAATCAGTTTTCTGACTAATTGTGTTGCCCTGATTTCTTGGCTTATTAAACTGAGCATAAGTTGTAATGATCACACTCCAGGCAAACAACCTTACAGCCAGCCGCAGCAATGCACAGCAGTTTTTCTTCTGTAAATTGGAGCCGTTTTTTAGTTTAATGTTTCTGAAATTATTGATTATTAAGATTTCCAAAGGCCTGGCAGCCGTCTGAAAGGAGGGCGACCTGGAATGAACCTCAAGACATCAACACACAGAAGAGCAAGCAGAACCGCCGCTCAGAGGAGCTCTGATAAAAACCCTTGAATATCCCCATTATTCTGTATTTTACTCAATCCTTTCTATTGATATGTGAAAACCAGAGAGCTCAGTTAGTTACTTGAGGTCAGAGGGGGATGGAAGATAAGACCCTTGTCTTATATTCACACTGTGAACAACACAAAGATCATGTCTGTTTACTTCCTGCAGAGCTGACTGACAAGGATTTTTATTTCAAACTAACACTGCACACACAAAAACTTTGGAGAATGGCTTTGTCTTTTATTGGAGTTTACATTAATGCTCAAGCAACTTGAATGAAACTTATTCATAGTAATAATGTCTGAATGAGTTTAGAAAGCCAGTATCAAAGTAGCAAACAGTTAAACGTTGTCTAGCTGAATTATTTCCAGCATCTGAAGCAGACTGGTTTCATTTAATGTTCAAAAGCGTCTAAAAGAATTTAAAAAATGAACTTATTATAGATTTAAGTAAAATGTCCATTGGCAGCAAACATAGAAACTGCCTCCTGTCATTTCATTATGCAGTGAAACAATAATGACATGTCCATGTAACAATAAAATACTGACTATAAAACCATAGTTAAATTATATTTACATAGACTGTTTTTTTTCTTCAACTTTTATTTTTAAACGGGATTTTTGTGATTTCTGGATTTTATTCTGACTTTGAAATGCTTGTTTAATAATCAAAATAAATTCATTAAGTCCTAATGAGTTAGAGAAAGTCAAACAAACTGTTGATTCCATCAATATCTCTTCATCTGTCATAACTGAAAACGACCAAGTTGTCCACAGTGTGAATGAGGAAATCTGGAGGAGAGTGTTTCTTCTAACCAGTGAACCAGCATGAAATGTTATTGTAGGAGTTGTTCTTTAATTCTCTGAGGATTTCACAGTCGTGAAGTCGTTGGAGATTCAAGGATTTTTAAAATCGAACCCCTGCTAGGGCCAGAGAGGGTGTGGGGTTGGGGGTTTGGATTTGGGGGAAGCTCACCTAGATCATCTTTAAGTTCAAGCTCAGCATTGGTGGGGTTGATGACCCCCTCCACGTCAAAGCCAGCCAAGTTGCTGACCTCGCTGTGGATAAGGTTGAGCTGCGGAGCGGGAGGCGCGAGGGGTGGAGTGAGGATGGGACATGCCGGGGAGGAGGGAGAGCAAGAGGGAAGAGGGGAGGAAGCAAAGCCATTAAAACCCAGATTCACACCGCAGATTAAACAAGGGACACCTTGATGAATTGCAAAACTGGACCCAGCCTATTTGAAAGCCTAAGACAGTGAGTATACCCTATATTTGTGTGCAAATTATTTTAAATGTTTGTGTGGTTTTTGTACATGCTCATTTACAGCTATTAGTTTTAGTGTGTTGTATTTATTGTAGTTATTGTACTTAATGTCAGTTCTATGTTGTGTGTAGATTTTATACAGGAGTACAACAGGAGTGACGAAAAAGATATAATCATTTTCTGTTACACTTTCACTAATCCTGCTATAAAATATGAGCCATCTGCTTGAAATCCAAATATCAGCATTTGGTAGCTTGAAGCTTCACATCAGACTTCTTCTATTATAGTCAGTTTTTTCTGAATTACAAGCTCAAAATCCTTGTATCCAAAATCTGAGGTTCCAGAGCAAAGCTGTTATTTCCATATAACAGATTGATGTAAAAGTACTTTGCAAAGTGACACTATAAAGAAAACTGGTTACAGTTCTCAACACCTGTCTGTAGACATGGCAAAGACAAAATATCAAAAACTAAAGATGCAAAAAGTCAAGGTATCCCTGTAAATATTAAGAATTTAACTACATCCTTTTAGCACAAAGATTCATTAGTCATAGGTTATGCACACAAGATATTTACAGATTTACAGTTAAGACTTGATTATAAAGACTGAGATCATCCCAGAGAAATGCAGAGACAAGGAATGTAATGATGACAGAGAAGCGCGAAACTGAAAAAAACTCCAAGGGAAAAGCTTGAGCAGGAAGAGTGCAGTTAAAATACATTATTTCTACAAAAGGGAAAGAGACGTTCTCTGTATTCATGGGTTTATGATCTTAATCAAAGGGAGGTGAACTGCATTTATTTGATTAATTATCATCATTTTATTAATGATGAGGTCAAATATTAAAAGCAGGCAAGCACTGCTGCTGCTCACCTCTATGCTCAGTTTCAATTACTGCAGGTTATATTTATATTTCCACTGTTTGTAGTTAACGAACTTCATTATTATCGAGGAAGTCAACCAAAACATTGTTTATTTTTTTCACTGCTACTTTCATTTTAACAGCAATAATCAGAAACGAGGAATTACTGTCATTCTGCTTTAAATAAACCAATCTGTAGTGATGGAAAGGAATCAGTTCCTAAATTATCACCTGTTAAATGTTGGTGTTGTTACATCAGGTTGCATTAATTATATTAGTATCAATAAATGCAAGGTACAGCAAAGCATGCAGTTCCATCAGCAGAAGTTGAAATCAACGCTGATCTGAAATATTGAGATCTGGAAATACATTTCCAACAAAAGAGTTTCTACATATTAACCTCCTGAAAGATTGTATGTTTGAGCACAGAAAGAGCAAAAATACTATATCCTTATCTCACAGTGTGCACAGGAGAAAATAAATCATAATAAAGCATTAATTATCATCATAATTATTAGTTTACAATTAAGATGAAGGGAGCCAGTGATACTTCTTGCATCATTCTGAACTCATTCCTTCTCTTGCTCCACTGCAATTCATTTGTTACAAATCCAAATCATTTTTTTTGTACGCTTCTAATCTAAGTCAAGCTCAATAAAAAGCTTGAAAAGTTAAAAAATGACATAAGTGAAGGGAGCAAACAGATTTGTGATATAATATTACACTGTTAACGCAAAAGTCATGGTTGCTACTATTATAGTTAGTGCAGTGAAGCATTAAAAGCCCCACAGTGCGCTGTAAACTTACATTTATTCAATATTATATTAGACTGAATAAAAACATGTGGATGTATTGAGTCAGATAATATCGATTGATGTCTTCAAAGCCCTTGGTTTATTCTTTTCTGACAGATTCTTAAAGGCTTAAAGAACAATTTCTCCTGAACACTGAATGAGATTTTAAGTTTTTCTTCAAAGCAGAGATAAAAAAGTGCACGACAGAGAAAACAAACAACTGTGGCCTTTTTCCTTTGACTTCTTAAATATGTTGTCATGTTTTTGACCAACTGATAGAGAATCAGAATCCGTTAACAGCCAAAATACAAAAAGTCTTAAGCTTGACATGAATTCATTATTTTTGCTTCACCCCAAACATAAGTCTTTCAACACACACTAAACTGTAGTTTAAAATATAATCTGCAGCAACCTGTTTGGAGTTGGCGTTTATCTAAATTGACAGAAAACTGACCTTTTGTCCCAGGAAGAGGCTCTTGGTGGAGAGCACAGTGAAGCTGTCGCCTGGAGAGCCCTCTGTGGTGCTGTCTGCAGACGCCGCCTTGCTCACCTCGCCCTGCTTCTGATGACGACACGGAGGACATGAGGACACCAAGTGAGACTTTATATCAATATTATTAAAGTAATTTTATTGCCTTCTCCATGGAGAGTTCCGGGGTTAAGATCAGCCAATTAATTGTTTCTTGTGCTCTTGTTGCCTACTTCACACAACATGATTTTTTTTTGCCTGATTCTCCACTTCCGCCGAAAAATTTGGAACTTGCTGACAACAGCCCAAGATCATAGCCAAATAGGCAATCTACTGACAGTCGCCAATCGATGTGTGGGAACATCCCCCTTGGACTATATTTTTAGCAGGCTAACCGACAACTATAGCCAATAAGAGCTAGTTCTCCTGGTGAAAAACCATTTAGAGAGTCCTGATCGCAAATCATGTAGTGTGGACTGCAACGACTTTGAAAGTCATGTTGACAGATGGAATAAGCAGCCAATCCAATACTTCGTCTCAGATATAACACAACACACTTTTTGACTCCCTGAGTTGACCTGTAACATAAATCAGTGTTTATCAGCCCAACACTCTGTTAACATGAAGCCGTACCTTAGCTTTTCTTCCTCCCTTTTTCCCGCTCAGTTTCTTAGCAGCTGATTTCTTGACGGTCTTGGGTTTCTTCTCAGGAGCCGGTGAAACGGGAGTCTCAAGTTTGCCCTTTGCTCCTCTCTTCTTGGCCAGCAGCTCTGGATGAATGTTGGGCAGGACTCCTCCTGCTGCAATGGTCACACCTTTCAGCAACTGAAACAAAAAGACAAAACAGACAACTTGAAATCACTTGCACTGGTAACAAATCTGCCTGGATATGTGCTGTATGCACTGGAAAAAAATACAATATATTCTTTTGTAGATGGAAACAACACCAACACTGGTGTTTCTAAAATCAACTGAAGAGAACTGACCTGGTTCAGCTCCTCATCATTGGCGATGGCCAGCAGGATGTGTCGTGGTGTGACTCGACCCTTCTTGTTGTCCCTGGCTGCATTGCCTGCCAACTCCAGAATCTCGGCTACAAGAGTAAACACAAATCACCAGAGGAGTTCATCAATAAATAATGGCGAGCTTAAGTAGTTTAGAAAATCATGTCTTTGAACATTTACGTGAACCTGATTAATAATAAAAAACTGACGTAAATTACATATAGCAATTAGTGTTCCAAGATTTAGAAAAAATGCCAGAAGACCTTTCTAACATTACCTCCCCATTCTCTCCTCTCCACAGATATAACTCACCAGTAAGATACTCCAGTACAGCAGCCAGGTAGACTGGCGCTCCCACCCCTATGCGATATTTCGGTAGGCCCCTCTTTATGTAGCGCAGCATGCGGCCCACAGGGAATATGACCCCTGCTTTAGTGGACCGCGACGTCTTGGTCAACTTCTTCTTTCCTCCTCGGCTGGACATGGTGCTGAGACTGCTACCAGTGTCGGGCTCTGTAAGTACACATTAACAAGGAAACATTAACTAATCAGAATAATACTTTCTATTATGGGGAAACAAACACTGAATAACTCACAATGAAGGACTTAGAGAAAAAGTTGAAATTGAAATTGCCTCAGTGAGATTGTCCTCTTGAGAGAGATCTCCACAGGAAGTGATGAATCAAAACAAAAGAGTAAAATAAACAAACTATCTCCCACAACACAGTTAAACAGTGAGATGTTATTTTTCTATATGACTCATCTCACAGTGACTCAAACGTTATCAATCGTTATAACATAACCACTAACTAATTTTGACATCCTTGATGTCTAGATGAAAAAACTGATAGGTTACATTCCTGACAGTATGATGTGCTTTTTTTGCTAAATAAATTTACAACAAACTATAAGATGACAATACAATTTCAAACAATATTTAGTTTTCAACAGTTTGAGACATTTTGAAACCTTAAAACTGATAGTCTGTTTTACACCCAGCTCCACAACCATGTTACATTTGTTAATAAAATCATTAATGTTAATGTAATCTTTATTAATCATAATCTCATAAGGTTTCCCATGGTTAATACTCAACTTTCATACCCCAAATAACAACAAGATCCATTGATGCATGAATGTCACTTTTAAATGTTACTTTAACAGATTTAAATAGGTTCTAATACACACTGGCTTATATGTCCCTGGTTAATATGTATCAGTGTAAATCAATGTTCCGGTGACTGGGTCCTTCCTCCTGGTTTTATATAGTCGGACATTCCTCTGAAATAAAAATTGCCTGTATAACCTCTGGTACCAGCCATAAATGACTTCATAGAAATAACCTTCAAGGCCTTATGGAAACCAAAATATTCGAATCAGACAAAACAGGAGAGTAATTAACGAATCCAAACATTCAATAAACTCAAAATAATGTTTTTATTTATAAGGAAACCATGGATACAGTATAATCTATGTAAATAAGAGCTATAGCTTTCTTTCTCACAGATATTAAGCTAATGCCATTTTCCATGAATGGAAAAATGAATGGTTATTTACCAAAATATGCAAAGGATTTTCATTTTAGGCGTTAAACTATAATAATAACTATGATATTCCAAATGAATCATGAGCTCATTTTAATTCTGTGTGATGTTTTTTATTGTAGTAGCTGCAGATATCAATTCGCTGTGTGTTGCTGACACAGTCAGTCAGACACAGGCCAGATACACACATCAACACAACGTCAACACTACCGGAGCCAGTTTAATATCCACACTAACACATCGTGTCTCTGGAACATCTGCAGCCGCTCTCCTCTCCTCCGCCCCGGCCAGGTGCAGGTGGGCTCCGCCGCACGGACACACCGGACATTTGTTTCCGCTGATAGGGCAGCGATTTCCGCATGTTAACAACCCGTCGGACGCCTCGCAAAGGTGGAACCACACACCCGGAGACTCGACCTACGGGTGGAACCGAGCTGCCCGACCACACGAAGGAATTGTACAGTTGAGGTCAGTGGGGCTTTCGGCTCTAAACACGCCCGGAAGAGTGGAGACGAGGCGGCTGCCCCCGCTCCTCCTCCCCTCCCTGTTTGTCGGCTCCAGCAGCGGCAGCAGCCTCGGTCTTTCTCGGCCTTTACGCCAGAGAAACGCGACATGGCAGCGGGCACGGTTCGGTTCGGTGAACGCAGAGCGGCTCCACCGACGAGGAGCGGCCGAGCTCGGTGCGATAACCCCCCCTCCCCCGTGGTTTACTTACAGAAACAGGGCTCGGCGGTAAACGTCTCTCCGGTTGTCCGGTAACAAGCCTGGGCAGTGTCCTCGACTCCCACAATCCACAGCGAATCCACCGAAATATCGCAGCGAGCCAGCAGCGCTGCCCGCGGAGCGACGAGAGCTGAGGATCCGCGGTGATCTTTAACCCTTTCCACCGTGACTCTGTCCGGGAGAACACGTGGTGTGGACGCTGGCTGAATGTTTCCAGAGCGGAGCGGTGACAAGCAGCACGGAGACGCTGCCCAGCGTTTACTTTATTTACAGATTATTCCCTGAACACAGGAATCTCACACCAGGGGCGCCACTAAGAAATCTGGGCACCCTTTCCCAAAACCCCAAAACTGAGGTGGTATGGTAGCACACAAACGTACTTATATGAATATATATATATATATATGAAGCCACTAAATACATGTACAGATACAAATAATAGGAACAATGGAGTCCCTTCAGAGGTGGAAATTAGCACCTTTTTTATTTCGCACAGAGTTTTGAATTGATATTCGGGTTTTGAAATTACAGTGCACTGTATAAAGTCTATAAAATGATTGAAAACATTTGTCCCAAACTTAGGTCACCAAAGGTGCTCAGGGGCACCACTTCTATTTAGCCTCACTGACACATGTGGCCAAGTCTGGTCTGGAATAGCTGACCTGAGCTTGTTTGTTTTTAATTCAATCATGAGATAGAGAGCAAAGATTAGATTATGCACAGGCGGCTTTAGACCTCATAAGCTCTGGAGTCTGATACTGGCCACATTTAAAAGAGAATGTGAACAAATCCATAAAAATTTGATCTAGAACAAAATCCTAATTCAGCACTTGAAGTGTGAACGTAAGAAATGAACATGAGAAATTAAATACAATCTCAAACTCATTTCTTTAAATCAATGCTTCCTGAGTTATCAGTTTAGTGCTTCTCTTTCTGAAAAGTATTTTTGCTGCGGACATATTCTGTGCTTTACTGATTTCTTTGTTTGAAGAGAGGCACAAGATGGACGCCTAGAAAAGCAAACGTTTTAGCAATAACATCAACTAAGGCTCTGTTCTGTTTAAGTCTGCAGCTAAATGGAGTGTAGCCTTATTATTCACACAGGTGGCTGCCATTCCTACTGTGATGTGTCAAAATAACCTTTGAGAAGAAGGAAGTTATGCAGTTTTCATGACCTTCTGCACTCAAGTACTGTTGAGCAAATACTATTAAAAATTGCATAAAAGGGTAGTAGATGTTATTTTCCAATAGAAAACTGAAAGGAGAATCTTTGGTGGAATATGTTATTCAAAGAATACACTACTACTTACTTAAGGCATCGCTATTTGTTATATTATTGTAATTTTTCTGTTTCGTTCATTTACTTTATAAATATAGAAGCTTTAGTTTTTCCTGATGCCAGTTTTTGACCTAAGCACTGGCTCCTGTAGCATCATTTTGTTTGAACTAAAAGTCACAATCACAGAGGACTGAAGGTGAAGTTAATGTGTCATTAAATTATTAAATGAATGATAAAATGGGAAAAGGTGTCAAGTTCTATTTCATGTTACTGTCATTCCACAGAGCATCTGAGCAGCAGCGGAGTTCTCACCCGTCAGTGAGACTGCAGAGAAACAACATGTGACATGTTTGCCAAAACCAGACTGTGGCCAAAACCCTGCAGCACACCGATGCAGTGGCAGAAAATTCACACCAGAGGTCAGACTTGAGCTGTGCAACAAATCCACCATTATATCCAGAGCTAATTTAGTTAAACAAAGGAGAATAAAATATATATAGATTATATCATGGTTTCATATGGTTTACACACTTCATTTGATAAGCTTTAGCTAAAAGCATTTAAAGTGACAATAGTTAACGCTAAAAGCTATGTTTCTAAAATATATGCATATAAAATGAGTTACATTGACCACAAAATCCGTGATTTGTGTCTCACTACCACCTCCTAAACAACAGAAAGAAAAAAACATATGTATAAGGAGTCTGACAGAAGGATATACCACAAAACTGTAAAGCAAACTTCAAACTAAAATTCATTTTACTTCTACACAGACAGTGAATCGTATGACCTGGTTCTTATTCCTTCATTGTAAGGTGATATAATATTGTGTGTGTTCAGTTTTGTAACGGCTTCTCCTACAGACCAACTTGTCAGCGTTAAAATCTCTGCTGGCCCCTCCTGGTCAATCTAACATTCAATCTAAACCCTGATAACATGACATGACTAGAGGGGCACTCATAGACCGCATAACTCCACCAAGACTGAAGGGCCACTTTATCACCATGTTGCATATACATATATTAAGATCAGATATATTAGGATCATTGTCCGGATCTGCACCAAATCTCAGTTGTTCATACATATGAGCACTCTACACATGCCTCGTTTTTTCATTAGAAATAGAAAGAATTAAATAAAAATGGATCTGCCCCATTAATTGGATCTGCTCCAAAAGTTGATGGGTTCCTGTTGAAGTTTCAAGAAAACTGGTTCAGCGTTTTGGTGTAATCCTGCTGACAAAGCTACCGCAAAGAAAACAACCTCCTTGGCAGAGTTAAAAATCTTGATGAATTAGTTATGTCTGAATATCAGAAATACAGCAGAACATTGGGGTTAGAGATGCAAGGATTTCAACATGAATGTGATATTCACCTTTTTTTCTAATGTGTCAGGATTGGTCTTTTGAATGCAACAGTTTAGAATTTCAGACAGTAAATAAAGACATTAATACTGTTTATATATTCTCCAACATGTCTCTCTGTGGATTAGAGAAGGTCCTGAGTGAAGTAAGAAATACTTCAGTTCTGAAGGGGGTCTGTGTGTCTGATTATCTGTCCACATCAGTGTTCAAAGTCATTCTAATTTTACATAACGTCTGTGGTGACCCTATGTACAGTAAAAATGAGTGATAGTGGAGCCACGTGTTGCAGCAGGCCGGAGGTGGTGCAGGTCAGGGAGAGTCAAGTGATAGCTGAAGGAGATGTCACCAATAAATAGAAGGCAGAGGAGAGTGTGTGTCGGTCTCTGTGTGTGTTTGTTAAGATAAGTTACGTTAAAGTAAGTGAGTATAATAAGAAAAAACTAAGTTTTAAATGAAAAACTACTCAATGCAGAAAATTGTGATCTGTGATTGTTATTCTATTATAGATGACATAAGCAGTTTTTGGCTTAAAAAAAAGTAAACCATGTTGTTTTGTGTTTTTTCTGGACCCTGAGTCTGTAGATAAAAAGTAATCAATTGTATG